AGTGTTTGAGAGTTATCTGCGAGAAAGACTCTCAAAGTTTCACCGAGTTCCCGGTAGATAGTAGCACCGATTATTTTTCACTGCACATTGCCCCAATATTTAAGGTTTTAAACAAATGTCTTGGTTGTGATTTTGTCTTCAGCAACAGACAGCAGGTTTTCAGCTGGTGTTCTGTCAGTTGCTGGGATATCATATAACTGATAACTGAACACTTGTCTCTTTCAACTGCCGAGATTTAGAACGTGTGGAAATGTTTGTCAATTAATTCTCACGTATTCATGGCGTGGTCCTTGAAACAGTGGATGGATTAAATAATTACGAGAAAGCCTTCGGATGCAGGTGACTCTCGAATACATTAACTGTCCCATTAATTTGTGGACAAGTTTTGTATAAAGCTAAATATCTTCTCAGTTGTTGCGCTGTGTAGTCTTGTAGAAGTTTATCAACATTTCAGAGGTCCCTCTTGCCTCCATCATCAGGGCGATGAGAAGATACTCTGAAAACAACCCAGAGGACAACCATCTTCAGACTCACCGCAGTGGAAACCTCAAATCCTACTAAGTTTTGTATATTTTAGCAATGATGTTATGTCAAAAACCATTGTTTGGCTTTAAATTCGTATTCATTTCTTTATATCTCTTCTTTGGCTAACAAGAGTAAAATTTCTTCTAAAAATTCGAGTCGCATCTGAAATCTTGTCGTGGCACATTGGAACACTTTTCTAAATGACAATTAAAAACATTATATTTCGGTTGTCTGTAGAGCAGAGTCAGGTACATGTCTGAAAACACTCTCTTTTAGAGTTTTAAATCTCTAAATGTAGAGATATGACCTGTCTATTTTGTGTTGGGACAGCAGACATGGTCCCTTGGTAGTAAAGACAGATTTTACGTGAAATTTTACAATTTCAAAATTTCATTATCACGGATTTAACTTTTGGGAAAACCCGATTATAAAGATTAAAACTTTACTAGGTTTTTTTTTTCATAGGGATTGTCAGACGTTTAGTAAAGTCCAAAATAGACATACCTCGTTTTATTGCGTTTCGCAGATATTGCTTTTTTTTTCTTCTTCAAATTGTGGCAACCCTGCGTCGAGCAAGTCTATCGGCGTCATTATTTTTCCAAAAGCATGTGCTCACTTCGTGTCTCTGTGTCAAATTTTGGTAATTATTGCATTGTTTTTAGACATAATGCTATTACACACTTAATAGACTACAATATAGTCTAAAAATAACTTTTATATGCAATGGGAAACCAAACAATTCGTGTGACTCGCTTTATTGCGGTGGTCTCGAACAGAACCCGCAATATCTCCGAGGTATGCCTGTATTAAGTCTAAAACTTACGTCATGTTATGTTAAACATTAGTAGAATACTACGCCTGTGCAGCTGATAAACTTATTCAGTTAAAATAATGTTCCGCCAACAAGGAGAGTTTGCTTGGACAGTCTGAAGGAAAGCGAGCACTTGGAAGACCTAGGCATAGAAGGGAGGACAGTGTTACAATAGATCTTAAGAAAACCGTGTGGGTGGATGCGAAACGGTGGCTGGTTTATTCGAACATTCAACAGGCGTTCTTTACGCCACATCACGCGGCAATTTGTTATGGGTACAGTTTTCGTTGTCATTCTGGCATGCAGGATATTCAAAGAATCCGTCCAGCGGTTCTCGAGTTTAATCTACGGACGGACACGACCAGGTCGTAATGCGTTTTCGCTATGCAGTTCTTGTAAAGAACACAAGAGAAGTAGTGGCTTTTGTGAACACTGTAATGAACTGTAGGGCTCCATAAGAGACCGGTAGTTTCTTTAACAGCTGAGCGACTGTTAGATTCAGGCAACATTTATTATTATTTTTCCATCTATTAGTGCACCAGGTAAATTACAGAATATAAAATGGGAAATTAACCCAGAATAATAAATTATGAAAAATCTGAAGGTATCGGTCGTCACCAGTACAGAAATTTTCTGGAGGGACTAAGGAAAACCATGGATAGGTACTATCCCAGATTCGAGTCCATTACCTCCTGTAAAGTAGTCTACACTGACCTGCTCAGCAGGGAAGGAGGTATTATTATTTATATATTTTATTTAGTGTTCTGTCTGACGACAGGTCCATATGAACAGGATCCTTCCATCCTTTTCTCGGACTGGGACCTGTTCATATACGTTCTTGGCAGATGATCCAGAAGTGGTTTGCCATTGCCTTCTTCTGGGTAATTGTTGGGATGCCACGGAGGAAAACTCCGGGCTGCCTAGACCACGGCCTTGCCCACCACAAGTTATAAATTCGCAAGTTATAAATTCGGGCACCGCCGGGAATCGAACCCGAGACCCCAGGATTACAAGGCCAGCGTTCTAACCGCTAGACCACCGTGGCTGGAAGGAGGTACAAAGAATTAATTGGGCGTTGCGTGATTCAAAGTAAAGTCTTTGTATTTGTATGTTAGTTATCGATGTCTGAGTTGAGATTCGAATTCAAGATCTCACGAGTAGGAATACTACACTGCGAGGTCGGCTGAGATGGTAAACAGTGAGCGTAATAAGACTTGAGTCTTATTTTACGATGTAAAATAAAGTGTGAGATTAGAAACACCTAAGTAGATGGGTAATGAAATATCTCAGTGGAATGGAGATGGAGGCGCGCGGTTCTTTGAAGCTGAGAACCGTGGAGGGGTGGGGACAGAGGGGCGGTGGTTGCAAAGAATTCATAAAGAATGGGTGGGAGAAATTTGATAAAAATGGAGTGATTAGATTTGAGGAACTTGGGGGCGACGAATTTGCATATAGCAGTTAATTGGAAGGACGGATTGAACTTTTAGGACGGGACTAGAGAGAAGGTTTGTTGTCATGGACAACCTACGAATGTAGGAACCTCTAAAATAAAATATGTAAGGAAAATAAATGTAAATAATGAGAATTAGAATACGAGACTGTTATTTTTTGTGATGTCTGAGTAAAAGCACGGAGAAGTCTTATCTGAATAGAATAAAAATTTTCTAGGATATTATCCATCGTCTAGTAAATAAAAAACGTAAAACGACGTTTCGGAGATAAGGATTAGCTCTATCTAGTGGGCCCGACTGTGTAGGAACCTGAAGACGGAGATAGAGTCCCATTTCCGAAACGTCGTTTTACGTTTTATATTTCCTAGACGATGGATAATATCCAAGGAAATTTTTATTCGACGGAGATAGGGATTAGCTCTATCTAGGGGGTCCAACTGTGTAGGAACCTGAAGACGGAGATAGAGTCCCATTTCCGAAACGTCGTTTTACGTTTTATATTTCCTAGACGATGGATAATATCCAAGGAAATTTTTATTCGACGGAGATAGGGATTAGCTCTATCTAGGGGGTCCAACTGTGTAGGAACCTGAAGACGGAGATAGAGTCCCATTTCCGAAACGTCGTTTTACGTTTTATATTTCCTAGACGATGGATAATATCCAAGGAAATTTTTATTCGACGGAGATAGGGATTAGCTCTATCTAGGGGGTCCAACTGTGTAGGAACCTGAAGACGGAGATAGAGTCCCATTTCCGAAACGTCGTTTTACGTTTTATATTTCCTAGACGATGGATAATATCCAAGGAAATTTTTATTCGACGGAGATAGGGATTAGCTCTATCTAGGGGGTCCAACTGTGTAGGAACCTGAAGACGGAGATAGAGTCCCATTTCCGAAACGTCGTTTTACGTTTTATATTTCCTAGACGATGGATAATATCCAAGGAAATTTTTATTCGACGGAGATAGGGATTAGCTCTATCTAGGGGGTCCAACTGTGTAGGAACCTGAAGACGGAGATAGAGTCCCATTTCCGAAACGTCGTTTTACGTTTTATATTTCCTAGACGATGGATAATATCCAAGGAAATTTTTATTCGACGGAGATAGGGATTAGCTCTATCTAGGGGGTCCAACTGTGTAGGAACCTGAAGACGGAGATAGAGTCCCATTTCCGAAACGTCGTTTTACGTTTTATATTTCCTAGACGATGGATAATATCCAAGGAAATTTTTATTCGACGGAGATAGGGATTAGCTCTATCTAGGGGGTCCAACTGTGTAGGAACCTGAAGACGGAGATAGAGTCCCATTTCCGAAACGTCGTTTTACGTTTTATATTTCCTAGACGATGGATAATATCCAAGGAAATTTTTATTCGACGGAGATAGGGATTAGCTCTATCTAGGGGGTCCAACTGTGTAGGAACCTGAAGACGGAGATAGAGTCCCATTTCCGAAACGTCGTTTTACGTTTTATATTTCCTAGACGATGGATAATATCCAAGGAAATTTTTATTCGACGGAGATAGGGATTAGCTCTATCTAGGGGGTCCAACTGTGTAGGAACCTGAAGACGGAGATAGAGTCCCATTTCCGAAACGTCGTTTTACGTTTTATATTTCCTAGACGATGGATAATATCCAAAGAAATTTGTATCCGACGGAGATAGGGATTAGCTCTATCTAGTGGGTCCAACAGTGTAGGAACCTGAAGACGGAGATAGAGTCCCATCTCCGAAACGTCGTTTTTACGTTTTATATTTACTAGGCGATGGATAATATCCAAGGAAATTTTTATTCAATTGACTCTTCGCCATCGTCAAGAAGTTTTATATTTGATATACTTATCTGAATAGTCTCGGGTCCATTCTACTTGTCTCTTCTTGAAATAGGCGCCTTTAACGGTACTAAAACTTTTAACAGATACGCAAGAGAGAGTTTTTTTTTTCAAAAAAAAAATTGGCTATTACAGAAATCACCAGTGGCCCAATGACCGGAGTACGTAAATTGCTAATGGAGTGGCCATCGTTAAGCCAACACATATTTATTCTATTTTTTTTTCTAAAAGAAGTCATTGTTTGCGTACAAGACTCCACACATATGGCTTGCGGGATCTGTGACGTCACGGAGTAGTTGTGATAGCCGCTACCCCGACTGGTAAGCATTCCCTCTGCCCAGTGGCTCTGATGTACGTACTTAGAAGTTCTCCGTCGGCCGGTCAGTGCGTCTTCTTGCGTTCGAGAACTTGGAAGGCCACGATCAAGTTCCAGTGATCAGTGTTCCTCAGTGTCGTTCGCGAGACGTCAGTTCTGAAAGCCTTGGGTTCAGTGCCTGGAAGTGGTGTTGTGCATTAGGTTGTTACTCTGAAGACACATATTTAAATGAGTGTGTAAGTGAAGGGGTTTTGCTGGTGATGACCTTGCAAGGTGAGTGAGTGACCTCTGATTGCAGTACAAAACACGAGAATGTCACGCGTATTCTGTTCTACCCAGAACTGTCAAGTGTTATTTATTTCTTAATTTATAAGGTATTGTAGATGCGTCATATTGTGAATTAATAGTATTAAAATATTTAAAAATAACCGTCAATCACAATAAAATTTAAAGATTAAAAGATTAAAATATCATATTATGTTCCCTTTACATATGGAACTTACACAACATGTTTCGGCTATATATAGCCATCATCTGGTGTTTTGTATATAAACTTTTCACTGAATTACTTTTAAGGATTTTCCTTATGATGTTTTGTCCTTTATGTTGATTCACCATTCGTTGTAGTACCAGTTATTGTAGTATTCCAGGTCACTAATTTTGTATTTCTTATTGATGTCGAAGTTCAGTATATGGACTGGGTTCAGTGCCTGGAAGTGATGTTGTGCATTAGGTTGTTACTCTGAAGACACATATTTACATGAGTGTATAAGTGAAGGGGTTTTGCTGGTGATGACCTTGCAAGGTGAGTGAGTGACCTCTGACTTCAGTACAAAACACGAGAATGTCACGTGTATTCTGTTCTACCCAGACGAGAACTGTCAAGTATTATTTATTTATTAATTTAAATCGATTAGTTGCATTCGATTTACAACACGTTATTGGATTTCTATGATACTATGGACAAAATGACGTTTCTTTTTGAAGGGGGCTGGTGGTGTGTTTTAGAAATGAATTAATCTTCATTTTAGTTTCTTTCGTTCGTTTAACACGACTTAATCAACTGCATAGTTACGTGGGAAATATTGCCAAGGATGTTTTGAGAAAAAGTCCTCGAAGTCTAATTACGTATATTCAAGTATATTTTTGGTTAAATTGAGGGGAAAAGGAATTCCCAGTTATTATCGGGCTTTGAATCTAAAATCCTCCAGAATTGTAAGTATCGGTACTAAAAAATTAGCCAGGGTGTTTTATATCGACTAATCGAAAATGTATTTTATTAAATGAATGTATAATTGATATGCGCTCTGTAACTATATCGTGAAGACCCATGTAAACTTGAAGACCTAAGGGCATTTAAAAAGAATTTGGATCATGGAGGATGCAATAATTAATAATATTATATAGTACCATTAATTCAGGTCATGTGTTGTCCATAATATCGATAATTATCCTTCGGCTTCTTTTAATCCTGCCTGGGACGACCAAACAGTTCGAACATTACCATATTTTGTGGCAGAGATTATGTTAATCGTGGTCAAAACCGGAATTTTGGAATTTTTAGACAGCGAAGATCGTCCGAAGGTAACAGAAAAGAGTGGACAGATATTTTTTGCTTAGCATAGAATGAAACCTACATGGGAAAAAGTACAAATTTTGGTAAGAATAGGAAAATTTAGCAACATATTTTTCAACAAATTATTTTAAAATTAAAATATAGCACTGAAACTTTTCTCCTAATCCGTAAATGTACATTTATCTGACACGACAGTACTTTATAATTCACACCAAATGTTTTTATTTTAATTTTTATTTTAGTAGGAAACCCTGAAGGAAAACCACCACTTAGAAGATCTAGTCGTAGATGGGAAAATAATATTAAAATGACTAATTAGTGGGTAATTAACCTTTCTGTTTCATCAATGGCAGGGAACTTCTCAAAAAGGACTCATCTGCATGGAGATTCTTTTAATACTTACAGTGTTAGTTTTTCAAGAAATAGGGTAATAGCCCATGGTCGCGTTGTAACAGGGTCCAGTGAACATGAATTTTTCGTTAAGGTACGCAAAAGTCAATTTAACTGTCTTTAAATCTTAGTTTATATTTTAAAACATTCAACGTAAACAAATAGGATTGTAATTAGGTGCGTGGCCTTCGAAAGCTAGTTAATTATAATAGGATAAATATTAAATTAAATAATTTTGTTCCCTTATTAAAACCACTGAAAAAAATATCGTTATGGCAGAATCATCTAACTGTAAAAGTAACTTACGAAGCAAATGATAAAGAGTAATGTACAATTCATTTTTTGATTATGATACAAATTAGCTTTTTCGTTGTGAAACAAATCCTAGAAATTCCCGATTCTTTATATGTATTTTTTAGCACGCATCGGGATTAATAGCTCCCACATCTTCTAAAGTACCAAATTTAATCCTATGTTGTATAGAAATATTTATAACACTGCTAGCTAAGATCCACGTTTCGCCCATATTTTTCGTTTAAAACTTCCATCATCCTGTTTCTCATCTTTACGCATGAAATAACCAGCGAATGAATCGGGTATCAATTAAATACGATATTGCCACGTCTCGCTAACATTTGTTAATTCTTTCTGATTTTGATTACAATCGGTCAACTATAACGGGAGTTTTACGTCAACGCGTGTATGAGTGCTTAAGTGAGTTGTCGCAAGGCTGTCTTGGTTGCCAGGTTTAATTTGGATATCGTGGTTCTGCTTAATAAACTTAAGTGATGAAATTTCATAAGATAGTGTAATTGCGTCATATTGTGAATATTATAATAATTATTTATTTTAATCCGTCTTATCACAATATTTTAAAATTTCTTATAATTAAGATAATAAAATATCATTGATGTTCCATATCGATTGATCGA